GAATATGCATACCTTTCTCTATAGTGGATGGCGGCAGTTCATGCCTTCAAAACACTTCATTCTAAGGGCCGTGGGATACGCTCTGGAGAAACTTGGGTAGGAAATGCCTCTACCTGAAATAAGGTTTCAGTAAGGAATCTCCTTTCCTCTGGAGAAGGCTCTTGTAAGCTCCTGATACACTCACCCTGCAGGGTGCTTCTCCTCAGTTCTCTTCAGTCCGACAGACACAGTCTGTCTCCAGGGCTTTCTCATTTGGACCCTCTGAACCAACCAAGATTCTGCCTGTGTGGGATGCTGGGCCAACTGTTACCCCTGATTTTCCAGTGAGTTCTACCGGTTCCCCCCACCACCCTTTTTTAAAATGCCGTTGTTCTTAGATGCCATCAAGTCAATTTACAACCCCTGGTGACCGCAGGTGACAGAGCAGAATGACAGCATCGAGCTTTCTTGGCTGTAATCTGTATGGGAGCAGCTGTCCCAGTGTGTCTTCCGAGGAGTGGCTGGGGGATTTCTGACCCACCAACCTTTTGTTTAGCAACCTGGTCTCTAAGCTTTATACCACCAGGGCTCCTTTCCCCCCTAGAGGTGTATTAAAAGAGACAATGTTAATCGTGAGTAAGAATTTGGAAAAGTTTCACCATAGATGAAATACCAGGTCGCCTCTTGGGGCACAGGTGACATAAGGCCCAACAACATTATCTGCATCTCTTATTTGTAGCTTTCTCTTGGAGTGTAGGGTTCAAGCACCCCCAGAGGCTAATAACAAAAACAACACCCACCTTTCGATTCACTGCAGCACTATCCACAATAGCCCAGAGGTGGAAACAACCAAAATGTCCATCAAGAGATGCAAAGATAATCAAAAGGTGGTCTGTCCATACAACTAAATACTCATCCACCATAAAGATAATCAAAAGGTGGTCTGTCCATACAAGGGACTACTCATCCGCCATAAGGAGAAATGAAGCCCTGGTGCCTATTGCAACATGGATGAGCCTTGAAAACATGCTGCGTGACGTCAGTTACAAAAGGGCAACACTGCATGCTCTCCACTCACTTGTATGAAATGTTTAGATTAGACAGAGGAGTGGAGACTAAGGTTTCTCAGTGTTGCTTGGGGTGGGAGAGAGGCAAACAGGACACTGTCCAGGTAGCAGTGAGCTGTGTTTAGAATGGGAGAAAGTCTGTTAACAATTCTGGGCGATGGTTGCACAACATGACTGAGATCATCAATAGCACTGAGTGGAGCACGTGCAAAGCATTGAATTCGCAGAGGTGTTATATATACGTTTACAATAATTAAAGTATCCCACCAAAAGAGGCAAAATAAACAAACAAAAATAATGAACCACCCCTGGCAAACCACCGTTGAACGATTTCAAAGAGCTGCCACTGGTCCTTTGCTTGCAATACACCAAGCATGACAGCCATCTGATCCAGTGAAAGACATTGCAAGGCTTCATTGCCTCCATAAGCTCCTTTGCCACAAGACCAGAAGAAATAGATGGTGCCCAGCTACCATTGTTGATGTTTTGATAAAGACCCTTGGCTCTTGATCGAAAGCAGAAAAAAATTGTGGAACAGCATTTCAAATTTGTATTGAAAATCAAACTTACTGGGATTGGTAGAACCTCTGTATCGATTACTTGAAACTAAATTTAAGCCTTCAGACAACACTATCCCATGAAGTCATCTTTGAAGTAAACAATTAAGCTCATTTAATAAAGAATGTTTGCCTTGAGCGGTGCACTGCTTTAAGGAATTAGCTATATGACATTAAATGGCCAGCCATAACTATAAGATGCAGATGAGAACTTTCAGGGAAAGCGAGTCTAAGTTAGCAGTGATGAAACAATATGGGCCGACAGAGGGCGAAGCGGTGTGAAGTAGTCCTAGGTAGCCACTATCAAGGAACCACACATTTAAGAAGTGCTGAGCAGTACATGTTTTGTCGAATATATTTTCACATGCTAATTTTTTTAAGTGTAGACTGGGTTATAGTAAACGAAAAAAAAAAAAAAAAAGACATGTGAGAGCTGGCTTGCGGAGATGATAGACCAGAGAGATTTCAAAAAGGGTGGAGCGAGCAGCTGGTCTCCACCATCCCCTGGAGACTAACCGGGACCACGGAAACACTCGGCACATGGGAGGACAGGAAAGTCAGGGAAGGTCTGGGCTCCTGAGAAAAAAAGTTGGGAATTGGGCTAGATTTTTTTTTTTTGGGGGGGCCTAGATTTTAAGTATCAAAATGGGTACTAAAGGAGTCCGATGGCACAGTGCCCAGTGGTGAATCAAAGGCGGACGGTTCAAACCCCTCGACAGCCCCACAGCAAAAAGACCTGGGCTCTGCCCTGTAAAGAGTCTCACAATCACTCCGTGGCCGAGTACGCCCTTTGGGGCAGTTCTCTGTCTCGTGGACTTGCTGTGAGTGGCAGGGTCCTGCGGCACAGGACAACGCATGCGCACTTCACTCGCCCGCTGGTGTGTGGGTCGGTCCAGGGAAAGTGCCATCTTAAGGTTGATGCCGACCTTTCGATTGAAAAACAGTATCTACACACACCAATATCTAACAAGAGCCTATGTATTTCTTTTTCTTCTCTGCCACCAGGCATTCTTTTCAAAGTAAGTCTACTGACTGCATGAACTGACATTCAGAATAACAGGTGAAATACCTTATTTCACGCAGCAAAAGTAGAGCCAAGGGTAGGCTGAAATGGGGAAGACGGCAAAGGAAAGACACACTGCTGCTCCTTGTAAGAGAAATGGGGAATGCCCAAGAACTCATGAGGAAAAACAAAACCAAACAAGCTCAGAACGAGACACTGCCGCAGGTACACAGGCATGCTAGCAAGCTGACAGCGGCTGGGGCAAATTAACAAAGGAAAGGAAATACGCCCACGTGCACATGCTTTCCGCTGCTCTTACCTAGAAACGCTGCCATGTTCATCACCTGACTAAACACGCAGCTGGCAGGAGGTTCATCACCTGCAATACTTGAAGAATAGGAAGGATTTTATTGTTCCTATACTAACATTGATAGCCCACCCAACCTTTATTATGATGGAACAAATCCGAAGAGAATTATCCAGTTACCTTATATATGGGGCATGCTTCACGCCAGGCTTCCTGTGGAACAAAAAGCACAGCAGCGAAGGTTAAAAGATGCTGATGTGTATGTGCTTCTGCCTCCCCAGTGGCCAGGTTTTGCTAAGCTTGTTGATGGTCCATGAATTACTTAGAGATAAACTTTACCTTTCCTCCGAATTTAGTGGGAAAATTTTGTCATCTTCCACAGCTATAAAGTATCTATCAAGCAAAAAAAAAAAAAAAGATACAATAAAGTGAATTTTTAAAAAAGACTAACCACATTCAATCAAATTCGCTTTCTCTTGTTTTAAACATTTTTTTGTTCTTATCATTTGACCTCTCTTTTGACCCACTTGTTTCAGTTTTTAGCATTTTCTGCTTTCTTTTCAATTGAGGTTTTTCTGTTTTGCTTTATTGTTGTTATTGGGTTTTTTGCTTGCATCTTGTTTGTGTTTTGTCTGACTTTCTGTATTTGAAAGTCAGGACAGGAAAATCTATAGAGACAGTAACTGGATTAGTGGTTATCTGTTGGGCTGAGATCCTCAAAGTCAGCAGTTCAAAACCACAGCTGCTCCTTGGGAGACAGATGGGGCTTTTTACTCCCATTAACAGTTATGGTTCCAAAAACTCCTAAGGGCCATTCTACTCTGTCCTCTAGACAGTGAGTTTGTTTTGTTTTGGGAGGGACATGGCAGGGGAGGCTGGGGGCTGGGAAATAGGCAGCTAACAAAGAGAACTAGAAGAAAATGTTCTGCAATTGATGGTAACACAACTGTGGTGGTGATGATAACACAACGCTTCTTCATATACTGAACAACTAACTTGTACGATATGTGAACAATATGCCAATAAAGCCATTTTCAAAAATAATAAAATATCACAAGTACGAAAAATCCCAAACAAGCCAAAAACCCAACCCTCTGGGTCAGTTCTAGTCTGTCACCAGGGCCATGGGGAGTCAGAGTAGACTCAGTGGCGTCTAACAACAACAGAGTACACAAACGTAGATTTGTTACAAACCCTTAAGGGAGCCCTGGGGGCACAGTGGTTAAGAACTTGGTTGCTAACTGAAAGGTCAGTGGTTTGAACTCACCAGCCTCTCCACAAGAGACGGTTGTGCCAGTCTGCTTCTATAAAGATCATGACCTTTGAAACCTCCCGGGGCAGGTCTAATCTGCCCTAGAGGGTCACCATGAGTTGAGACAGGCTCAACAGCATGAAAACGTTCTATTTTGTATCGACATTGCCCCTACTCCTCCATAATGAAGTAAGTGCATACGTACACGATCCACAGTCCGGCTGAAGTAAACAAGGTAAATACAAGAGGCAAAAACATCCAGACGCTGCATTTCTTTCCATCCATGCCTGCAACGCTGGAATAAAGTGAACGGATATGAACAACTTAGACGAACATTTGCCTCCCTCTTTTTAAGGCAGAAACAAAGTTCAGTTTAACCAAGACAAAGTGTGATCTAGGAAACCATGTTTTATAAAAACCTTGATTCAGATTGGTATCATTTCTGCCACTATACACCTGAGAAATTCGGTGAGCAGTTAATGGGTGATTGTCACGCAGCCTTAGATTAAGTCCTCCAGAGTCTTCACTGAGAACTTGTGGGAAATTTCTCGTAAATGCATCTATCCAGTGCTAACATTAGCCTTTAGGGATTTATGGAGATGGCCTGTATGTGTCTACAGCCTGGTAGACAAGAGTGTTAGAAACAAATGATTACTCGATACTTATTGGCAAAACAGGAGAAAGTGACAAATGCTTTGCAAATTCACATTTTTCTTGTGACCTGTCATTGAACTGCTGTCTCAGAAGACTGAACATGAAGGTGCCTGGAAACAATGCATTGTGTAGGACTTATGAATCAGCTCCGCAGAGCACACTGGGGGCGAGGTAGGGGCGGGAGAAGGTAGATGCCAGGTATTTTGGATGTTATGTTTTAGAGCAAAAATATATGTATAACAATTTCCCATAAAAATGAAAGTAGAGGCTTCAGGGTATCTGAAACAATATTGGAACTGAACAAAAAGAAACAAGCAGTCATCACTTTACATCTTATCTTTACCCCAAACCATCAGATATAATCTAACATAGACATATCCAGAATAATCCTCCAGGCAAACAGCAAAGAAAATGACGTATTCTAGTGATCTTTACTGATGACCTGATAAACAGAAGGAGAATATGATCAAGTGACAACTGTAGGAAGATGTTACAGCATATTATTTTGCATTTTAGTATTTACTGAAACAAGCTCATTTATTGGGTTTGAATCAGTACCACCACCCTATTTCTGAGTACCTCTGTACCTGAGCTAACATACTGAGACTTTCTAGACCTGGCAACAGTTGAGACCAGAGAGAGCAATATGGTACTTGCTTTAGGCTAGTGAGTCAATTCCTTCTTCAAACTCTCAGCAAGGTCTTAGTTGGGTAGATTGGGTAGATGTTTCAGACCAAAAGACACTTGGGCCTAATAATAAATCTTTGAACAGTTATGTCTCAGCCTAAATATCCATCTGGGCAGAGATGTTAAATAAATGTCAAAAATCTACGAACTGAAAGACATTAGAGTCAGTTTCAACCAGGTTAATCCAATCAAATCCAATATTTTTCAATTCACAATTATGGACAACCTACTTGTGCCAGGGAAGTCCAGGGCCAGTTAAAAGGAAGGAAAGCCTCAATGAGTTGTATTGATACGATAGTCAAAATAACGGACTCAAATATATCCACAGTTATGAAGAGGGTGTCGGACTACGCCATTCTTAATCTATTGGACATAAGGTCACCCTGAGCCAGAGCAGACACGACAGCAACGAACAACAAAAATATGCTAATAAAAATAACAACTTCATCAGCAGTCAAGGTGCAGGGCAATACAGGAAATAGGGGTGGTGATTTAGTAGTAAAACAAATGACTCTGAATCTGTCTCTGAGCTAGGGTGTTCCAACAGGATAGGGTATGCCGGAAAGCGAGGCAACCTGCCTCTGCCAATGACTGGATCCATGGATGAGTTCGTTAAACCTGTAGCACCAAGGTGCCCATTTGGATACATAAAGATTGTTGAACTCAAGGAGAAGGAAGGTGTCAAAGGCTGAGCGCTCACAGCGTGGTCCTACCGTGAGCGGTGGTCACCGAAGTACACTATCTTGGTTGAGTTTTGTGGTAGTGGGATATTATATCAACTACACACCCCTGGCTAGAGGCAGAGTCAACATATCAATCAAGTGGTAGCGTGATGACCCCTCCTTGGGGGTGTGGTCGTTTGTATGAGAGCAAGATTGAACAGAGATGATTCCTCTCTGCTACTTGCTTTTCCTTCTCAGTGGGCCTTCACTGGGACCCTGTGTCTGCCTCCAGGGTCAGCTTGTGGTTGGCCGTCTGACCCTAAACTGTCATTGCCCTATCATGCTTCCACCAAGCCTGGACCCACTTGACTCTGTGCTCACCGGCCTGTGTGAGCTCCCTGCTTCCCCTTTCCTTTTGGGTGTCCTGAGTCTGCAGCTACATGAGTTTGAAGAGGGCCCAACTAGCACTGGACCTATGGACTTGATTTGGACTGGGACGGGGCACCTTCTGGATGTAGAGCTGCTTCTTGATATAAAGGTCTTCCTTGTACATAGATGAGTGTCACTGGTTTGTTTCTCTAGACCACCTGGCCTAACATAGCTTTGCCGTATCAGAATACTCAAAAGTACCTCAAATTATCAAGTGCAGAGTAACTCTTATTTCTTAGTCATTTTCACAGTAGATCGGTGAATAAATCAGAATAGCAACTTGGCTATGTACAGTGAGACAATGTACAGTGAGCAAATGAACCGCCAAATGTGCAAATACTCCTACTGGGTGCCCTTGGCGTCGTGGGTTACGTGTTGGGCTGCTGAACCACAGGTCAGCAATTCAAACATACCAGCTGCTTAGAAGGAGAAAGATGAGGCTGGCTATCACCTCCTGAAAAAATGGACATCCTTGGAGACCCCAGGGAGCAGTTCTGCTCTGTCCTGCGGTGTGTCTATGAGTCAGAATTGACTCCATGGCATTTGGTTTCTATGGGAAATTAAAATTTGGATGCAGGAAAATAAAGTGGTTAATGTTAATACATTGATAAGACCATGATATCATGTTTCAATAGTTTTATGTATTAATTTCCTTGAAAGAAAGGTAGTGTGGTGGAATGAATATACGAGGGGATTCCCCCCAAATTCCAGCAAAAGCTCTGCTGGGTGGAGCTTTTGTAGTATGCATTTTTACTGCTAGGCAAACATCCAGCAACTTGCTCTGAGTTAGTATACCAAGTGGCATTACCTGGGAAAGATAGCTCTGGTCACAGTGAATTTTTTCATAAAAGGAGTTTCACTCAAACCTTGTCCTTTTTTTTTTTTTTGTATGTGATGGCCGAATTAAGAGAACAATGTGCGGCTGTGAAATTCCGTTCCTTGTTCAGGAAAAATGCCGAAGAAACTGTTGTGATGTTGAACACAGCTTGCAAGGACAGCGCTATGCGAAAAACTCCAGTGTACGAGTCGTTTTCTCATTTCAAAAGGGGAGAATTGTCGATTGATGACAAACCTTGTTCTGGACATCGATCAATTTCTCGAACGAATAAAAATGTCAAGTCATAGTACATTTGGATTCATTCCAGCAGGTCAGACTGTTAATCAAGTTTTCTATTGAGAGGTTCTGAAAAGATTGTGTAACAGTGTGAGACAAAAAATGCCTGATTTGTGGCATACAGGGCACTGGTTTTGCCACCATGACAACGCACCTTCTCACGCAGCCATCTCAGCGCCCAGTTGTTGGCAAAAACCAGCATGCCTCTTTTGTCCCACACACCTTACTCACCTGACCTTGCTCTGTGCAACTTCTTTTTGTGAATGCAGAGGGATGTGAATGGACAGTTATCTGATGACTTAGAAGAGGTGAAGAAAAAAAAGAGGGCGGTGTTGTCAGTCATTCAAACACGAGTTTGGAAAATGTTTCCAAGAATGGAATCGCAGATTTGACAAATGTATTACATGTAATGGAGAGTACTTTGAAGGTGATAAGGTTGCTTTGTAAAAAAAATTTAAATACATAGATTTGAGAAAAAACAAACAAAAATTTCCAGTTTTGGGGGTACCCCTCATAGTACAGTAAGGCATAAGGCTGAAACTTAGTTCTGCCATTGACTCATTACATGATCTTTGGCAAGTTTTTTTTTTAACTTTTAAGCCTTAGTTTAAATATGAAGACAGCATCCATTTTGTAGGACTGTGCTGAGCATTAATAATGCAGGAAAGCATCTCACACATAATGTCCTGGAAGTAGCAGCTCTGCCAAGTATAACTGCCAAGTAGATACAATGCCAAGTGTATGTCCATGTGTTAGGACAAGGCACCCCTCTGCAGGACAGGCCTCACAATAAGTTGACACTCTGGGCTCCCCCTTTTCTAGAGTCTATGAAGACAGCTCCTGAGAGTAATCGTTTCTTTGTTCAGGTGGCTACCCTCTCCATCCCCCCAAAAGTAATGGATATCTTAAACTAGCACACATCTTAAAAAACTATCTTCTTCAAGCTGATTCAATAGATAGGTCTTGATGAAAGAAGGAAGGAAGGAATGTGGGCAGAGTTTAAAATTATATGGAATCCAAACTTCTTGGACCTACTGACACTGGAGAAAACTCACTCCACTCTCCCAATCTATTGCCTTAAGGTAATCACTTAACACTGAGCTGAAACTACCCACTGATTCATCTTTCAACCAAACAACAGTTTAACTCAGTAAAGAATATATGCCTTCAGCATTGCCCTCTTTAAAGGATTATCTGTCTGAAATGAAATGGCCATTGGTAATTCTATCTCATAGATGAGAAGGCTGGTAGCAGTGAGTCTAAGTTATGTTCATGAAGCAGGTTGGAAAGAGCTAGCAAGAATGGCAACACAGCCAGAAGAACGCAATCAATTGTACATGTAGAAATTGTCGAATGAGTATACTTTTAACCAAAAGTGTATATTTTCACCAAATAGTAATTTTTAAATGCTTATCTTCTTGACACTCTACTTTCGGGTTAGCTTTCAGTATGCACTGTTTTTGCAGCTTGTTTGGGAAGCACTTACCACCATAGACCTAACACCTAATGGTTACATTTTTATTTTCACCAGTTTATTTCTCAAAGGGCAACCTTGTGTACCACTTCTAGAAAAATCATAATGTCAAATCCATCTGGAAAACACAAAAGTGATCTCACGTACGTGTATGGATGATTGCATCATTAGCTCTCAATGAACTCAACGTTGGCATTTCTTCAAATGCTTAAAATCAATAATGCCCTCTTCTTTTCTATGGTTGCAGATTCTTATGTGTGATGGTTAGCTTTGTGTCAACGTGGGTGGGCTAGGATTCTTCCATGATATGATCTAAAATAGTACAGTCAATTATTATGGGATCTTCTGTGAGCAACAAGCAGTTGTAGGGAGAGGAAACTTCCTTAATCTGGTCACAGACTTGATTCAATTGAAGTTTTGTGGGGGGCGTGGCCTACTCAGTATACATTGACAGTGTGTGGAAGCTGGTGACTTCCACTGCTGGACTTGGATGCTGCCTCTGGTTAGTGGACCTCCTGCTTTGTCACCTGCCCATCTCAGGAGCCATCAGCAGACTGCCAATCTTGCATTCATTTAGTGGATCTCCGATTCATTCAGGGTGGCATCCACCAGCCTGTGGTCTTCCTGCTTCCTGTTCATCAGTCCCTGCAGCTAGAGGAGTCAGGAGAAGCTTTCAGCTGACATCTGACCCACAGACTTGAACCAGACTGGACTACAGCTATGTGAACCATTTCGTGATTTAAATCTCCTTCTATATGCAAACACACACAAGTGTGACTGGTTTTGCTTCTCCAGAAAACCCAGCCTAACACATTATGCAACTGCAGGAATTAATATGGAGATCCCAGCTGTCTGTCACCTCCCATCCCCCAAACCATACCAATTCCAGCAAGTCAGAAATTGCCCTCGATACAGTTCTTCAGACTTAACTCACAATTTTCCAGTATTATATGCACTCCTTTCTGTATCTGTGTATTTTATCCTGAGGGTAAATTCCTGTGACCACTGCCAGCCAGCGCCAAAGTGGAGAATAAGCTCATCACCTCAAAGATCTCTCTTGTGACTCTTTCATAACCATACCACCTCCTCCCTTAATTTTATCTCTGATTCCTGGCAAGCGTTAATCTATCCTTTACTTCCATAATTCTGTCATTTCACAAGAATGTTATGCAAAAGGGATCAGACTGGATGCAGCCTTTAGGAATGGGCTCCATTCACTAAGCATAATTCCCCGGTTCAGGTTCAAGTTCATCAACAGATGGTTCTTTTCCTTGCTGGGTAGTGTTCCATGGTACGGGTGCTGCCACAGTTTATCTAGTTACTTGTAACAGATCATGGGCTGTTCCTACGTTTCCCTTCCCCACCACCCTCAAAGAAAGGTGTTATGAACATTTGTGTACAGTCATTTGTGTAGAGACCAATTTCCGTTTCACTGGGATAAATACCCAAGTTTATAATTGTTGGGCCTTATAACAATCGCAGAGTTTTGTTTTAGTTCTTGTTTTAAACTACCAAACCATTTCCCAGAGCAGCTATCCCATTTACCAGGTTCTGGACACCACTGCCAGTATTTGGTATGGTATTGTTTATCCCCCTTTAAACATTTTTAGTCGTTTGATTAATGTGATATCTGATGATGGTTTCCATTTGCATTTCCCCTTACGTCGCTGTGAGTCGGAACTGACTGGATGGCAGTGAGTTTTGGATTCGATGGCTAGAGATACTGAACATCTTCTCATGTACTCATTTTTTAAAATACTTTTATTGGGGGCTCTTACATCTCTTATCACAATCCATACATTCCTCCAATGTGTCAAGTATATGTGCACATATGCTGCCATCATTTTCAAAGAACTCTCTTCCCACTTGAGCCCCTGATATCAGATCCCCATTTCTTCCCCCTCCCTCCACTACCAGCCCTCCCTCACAAATCCTTGAGAAGTTATAGATTATTTTTCCATATCTTACATTGTCCTCCATTGCCCCTACCCACTTTTCCGTTATTCATCCCCCTGGGAGGGGGTTCCAGATTGATCCTTGTGATTGCTTGTTCCAGATTGATCCTTGTGATTGCTTCCCCCTTTCTCTCCCCACCCTCTCCCAATCCTCCTAGTATCTTACTCTCTTTGTTGGCCCTGAGGCGTTTATCTATCCAGGATTCCCTGTGTTGTGGGCTCTTATCTGTAGCAGTGTGCATGCTCTGTCCAATTTATCTTACAGGTGGGTTTTGGGTCTCCACTTGGTCCATACTCCTTCATGTCAATTTGATTGCTTGTTTTTGAACTTCAGATACCTATTTCTGTCAACACGTCATGGTCACACAAGCTGGTGTGCTTCTTCCATGTGGGCTTTGTTGCTTCCCTGATAGATGGCCACTTGTTTAACTTCAAACCTTTAAGACCCCAGATGCAATATCTTTTGATAGCCAGGCACCATCAGCTTTCTTCACCACATTTGCTTATGCACACATCTGTTTTCAGCAATTGTGTTGAGGAGGTGAGTATCATACAGTGATTTGGCCCATCTTCTAACTGAATTTTAAATATTTTAAAAAATACTTTAAGAATTGCTAAGAAATTTTAAAAAATAGTTGGGGAGTCCATATAATCTAGACACAAACCCTTCAATGGATATGTGATTTACAAATATTTTCTCCCAGTCTATCACTTATCTTTTGATTCTCTTAATAGGGTGTTTTGAACAGTAACCATTTTTCATTTTGATGTCATAAAATTGATCACATTTTCTTTTTATGAATCCTACCTTTGAAGTCAAACCAGAGAACTCCTTGCCTAGCACTGGATCTTGAAGAATGTTCTCCCAGGTTTCATCTGAAGGATTACAGTTTTGGGTTAAAATCTTTGATCTGGGCATAACCTTTTTTAGAGCATAGATCTACATGATTTTGTCAAATTTGCTTAGACTCGGGATACCTCATATAGCACTTTAACAAAGATCAGGAAATACGTGATGATCTTGGTTGACTAATGTTTTTATAATCAAGAACACACATTTTGGCCATAATGTACCCTGCCCCACCAGAGGTTTTAGACAATTATGAGTGTGAACTTAAGAACAGAACACACTGAGGGGTGTGTGTCCATGGAGATGGGGGAAGATCCCTTTTCACGCCACCCACGACCCACCTCTGAAGTACCATGGAGCCCGAGGAGCAAAGTTAAAAAGCTTGTTTCGGGACCCCTTTCTGGTTTTTGTGAACATACTAAAGCCCATAGCTCGGTACTTCTTTATCCCTTATGGGATTGTGCTAACCAACATAAGGATTTAGTTAAGCACCCTTCTCTTTTCTTGTCCCCGAAGATCTATTTGTCATTCATGAGGCCATACCCAGCTAATAATGTAACCTAAGGCCCTGCTGAAGAGAAGTTTCAATGAATTATTCTCTGGAGGTGGCAGGGGAGGAAGGTTTGATTTGGCTTGGTTTCTCAGTGTTCTCTGAGCAACTTGTCACACTCAACAAGTTCAGATACTTGGCCAGAAGAACCCCTACAAATAATGAACAGATCGATTTCGTGAATTCCCTTTACTTCATCTCAATGTTGTCTGAAATGGAAAGTTAAGACATCCTTCCAGAGACCAGTAAAATGAAACAGGGCATTGCTTGTAGTAACACTAGATAGAAAGTGTCGCCCAAACTCTATTCCCATTGTCTTGCAAGGACACCTCTTTGGAATGAGAGTGTTCCCCTGAGCCACATCACCGATGTACTTACAAGTTAGGAAAGAGAGTTCTCTTGCCTCTTTAAGGAATGAGGAGGAGACCACAGAGACACTTCTCACTAGCAATATAGTTTTATCTTTGCATTCTGAATGACATCCGTTATTTCCTGTATAATATTGAATCACCAATCCTTCATTAATCATCAAATACCATCTCACCATAACAAACTAAAAACCAAACCAAAACCAAACAAACCAAGCTCAGGATCCTAGCTCCCGATCCCAATCGTCAGAAGAATGAACTACAGATCGGTCTTGGTAGAAGCACCGCCAGACGGTCCTTAGAATCAAAGATGGCAGGACTTCAGTTTATGTACTTTGGACCTGTTATCAGGAGGGGCCAGTCTGTGGAGAAGGACATCTTTCTTGGTAAAGTACAGGGTCCGTGAAAAGGAGAAAAGCCCTCAATGAGCTAGACTGACACAACAGCTCCCACCAGGCGCTCAACCACAACAACGGTGAGGAGGTGCAGGACCCAGCAGGGTTTGGTTCTGCTGTGCCCATGGTCTCTATGAGTCACACGGACGCAGCAGCACCTAAAACCTATGGACAACCCAGTTGGCACACTATTTCTAGAACAATGTAATCTAAAGTATTCCTGACACAAGGAGGAAAAGAGCCAGCCTTTCATAAACCTTATTGAAAGGGCTCTGGCATGCAGATCTGGTTTAGCAACATCTCCTCCAAATGGTACAACAGCTGCTATCCAGATGGCCCCGTTTTCCTAGAGAGTCAGTACTGCCAGCCCTCTGTACACTTCTATCATGCGTGCTTTCTTCCAACGGCGTCACTCCCCAAGGGGGAGTCAGCTCCGAAATCTGACCCCGTCTGCACCTATGAGTATCCGTCAACAGTGTCAGTCAAACACTCTGGATACACTCTGGATCTCCTCTTTGCTCCCTCGGTGGTCTGCCATCTCTGATGCTCTCCTGTTTCCTCAGAAAGAAAATGAACTGGTTCAAGAAGTTTGTGGTGGCAAGGTGATGGACAACAGAAAAGTGGGTGAGGGGAGACATTGGTCAGTGTAAGGCATGAAAAATAATAATAATTTATAAATTATCAAGGGTTCATGAGAGAGGGAGGGTGACAGGAGGGGGGGGAAATGAGAAGCTGATTCCAAGGGCTCAAGTAGAAAGAAGATGTTTTGAAAATGATGATGGCAGGGAGGGTAAAGGGAGAATGGGTAGGGAAGAGGGAACCGATTACATGGAACTGTGTGTGACCTCCTCCCTGGGGGACAGACAACCGAAAAGTGGATGAAGGGAGACGTCGGACAGGGCAAGATATGACAAAATACCCATTTATAAACTATCAAGGGCTCATGAGGGAGGGGGGAGCGGGGAGGGAGGGGAAAAATGAGGACCTAATGTCGGGGGTTTAAATGGAGAGAAAATGTTTTGAGAAACGAGGTACAAATGCGCTTTACACAATTGATGTGTGTATGGATTGGGATAACAGTTGTATGAGCCCCTAATAAAATGTTAAAAAAAATATATATAAAACAATAATAGAAAAGAAAAAAAAAAAGAAAATGATGATGGCAACACCTGTACCAATGTGCTTGACACAATGGATGGTTGTGTGGATTGTGATGAGTTGTACGAGCCCCCAACAAAATGATTCAAAAAACAAACAAACAAAAAAACACAAGAAGTTTGTGGTCGCTTGCCCTGCGGCCATTCTTGTTCCCCTTTGAAGCCTCTATCTGCAGATGTCCAAAAGAATATCTGGCCAGTATGAGCCCCTAATAAAATGTTCACACAAAAAAAAAAGAGCATAAAAAAAAAAGAATATCTGGCCACTTAAAAATTGAGTGCGTCCTGGAGCCAACAAAGCATAACGTTCATATTCGCTTGGCCCTTCAGACTCCAACCACTTCAACTGGCTATAAATGGGGTTCTTAGAGTGGAAGCTGATGAGGCTACTGACGTCAAAGGACAGAGCATTCTGTTGGAATGATGGTCTTTGGAGACAAACTTTCTATGCCATCAGGCAATGTCAGAACTCCACTTTACAATTCCAGTCTACAGAGAAAAGATCACTGTCTTCATGTATTTATATATTTTACACCTGCTGAGTGAGAAACCACTAATAAAAATGGCTCTAAAGTAACACAAAAGCTAGATAACACTCTCTGGGGGCAGGACGGGATTGACTTGTTACAAATTGGGAGGACTTTGGACTTCCTGGGTAGTGGACTCTGGAGTCAGGCTACCAGCCTTCAGAATCAGTCTGCCACTCGTCATGTGACCTTGAATGAATCCCCAGTTTCTTCATCAGTAAAGTGGAGAAAGGGACGGTGCCAACTCACAGGGCTTTTACGAGGATTGAAACTACAGTGAAGAGCTCAGAACTGTTCCAGGCACACAGCGAGCCTGCAATTAACCTTCACCGTATTTCACTGCAAGTGCAGTTTGGGTCGAGCTATCTTCTATTTGGTTTACAATTCATCAGGAAATGAGCCCCCCACCACAGTAATTTTTCACGTTACTCTCAGGGCCAGCTGGAAGGGAGCAGGAAAGATTAACGAGTCAATCACTAATGGCCAGGACTGTCATGGTGTCTGTGAACCAAGCGCATCCTTGATGCTTTTTAATCTTCCGGGAAACTTAAGTTATTTTTCCAAGCATGTCATGGGCAAATGTGAAGGGCTTGTACTATGTTGTAATGAATTTGCAATTATAAGTGGTAATGACAAGGGCTATTTGTTTTGTTTTTTCCTAAAATGTATACAGGCTCTCAGATATAAACCAGGATGGAGAGATATACAATAAAGCCAACAAATAAGTCACACTCACTGTGCTGACAGTTAAATTTTTATTTTCACTACATCTCAAGTTTGAGAAAGCAAGACACTCTGGGTGACCTGGTGTCACTTTTAGAAGATATGACTTTCCCTAATCAGACAAAGCAAGGGGTCCTGGTGCCACTGTCAGAGAAGAGGTAGACTGCTGACATCAAGGCCAACAGTTCAAACCTACCAGCTGCTCTGTGGGAAGCTAATGAGGCTATCTCCTCCCATAACATTATATATGGGGTTGCTATGAGTCAGAATCAGCTCAATGAAATGAGTTTGCTTTTATGGTAATCAGAATATGATATAAATAATATTGTTCAACCTATAGGTTCAATACCCATCCCCACCCCAAAATACTCTTTATGAACAATGGTAAGAAATAATATATTATTCAGAGGCAAAGTTCAGAGGGTTAGGGAAGAAGGCGGAGTAGAAACAGGAAACAAGGAAAAAGTGGGATAAGTGATGGTACATTGATGAGATGGTACACTGATGAGCAATGGATGAGCTGAAACAAAATATGTATACATTATTGAATGTAAAACTGATGGTTTGCTCCATAGGCCTTTACCCAATTCACAATAAAAGGTTAAAACACAACAGATGACTGTAGGGACCCTTTTATGTTAGTAGTCCAAAAGATCCTCTTTCTCAGAAATAGATGGGATGTAGCATTTCCACACCACCTTAGAATAATTGCAGAAAGAATCTGGAGACCTTCTGATGTGGTGGGCTAGGCGTTGGACTGCTAATCTCGAGGTGAGCTGTTCAAACCCACCCACCACTCTGAGGGAATAAGTTGAGGCTAACTCCTTTCATAAAGATTACAGTCTCAGAAACACGATATAGGGCTGCTATGAATCAGCAGTGCCTCGATTGTACTGGGTTTGGTTTTGGGTTTAGTTCTTCAATTTAATATTTTCTTACAGATGCTATGCCAAGATCCTCCTCAGAGTCCAGTTATATCTTAAATAATAAATAAAAAGATTGCCTACATTGGCACATATAGCTAGTTGCCAACCTATCAGACACGTTTCCCCCTTTGCTTAGTTCATAGGAGCCCTGGTGGCATAACGGTTAAGCACTCACCTGCTAACCCGAAAGTCGGAGGTTCAAATTCCCCAGCCGCTCCATGGGAGAAAGATGTGGCACTCTGCTTCCATAAAGATTACAGCCTTAGAAACCTTATCAGCAGGTCGTCCCTGTCCTATAGAGTTGCTATGAGTCAGAATCAACTCGAAGGTAATGGCTTAATAGAATTCTAATTTTATTCAGGGCAGCGACCTGTTTCACTAAGAATATACATCATGATTGACCTAAGCCAATCAAGGCTAGCTTGCTTTCCTTGGAAGAGTGTCTTTCCAGGCTCTCTTGTACCAGGCCAACGGCTCCCCTTAATCAGACGGAGTAACTAATGGGGCGGGCTTGCTTCTCTGACGACGGAAAGCCCAC